GGTATGGACTTCCATGGTCTCACCTTTCCTGGGTGTGCTTACCTTGCCTCTGTTCTACAGCTGGGGGTCTACCTGTGGGGTCAGCTATAGTGATTGTGGAGGGAAGAGAGCATGAGAAAGAAGTAACAACGGGACCAGCAAGGAACAAGTTGTTAACCTAAAAATTTCTTTTCAAATTGGACTGTGCAACCAAGGTTATCTACAAATCCAACAGCAGTCGTGGCTCCTAATCACTTACTCACCTGGGGTGAGCCTTAGGAACATCCTGGAAGAGACTATGACTGGGCCACTTTATATATGGAAATGTCATTTTATTTTTACCAAGGAGAAGAGCCACTAACAGAAAATAGTGTAAGAAAAAGCATATTAATCCTCCCTATTTTTATGAAGAAACATAAAACTTCAGATGCACTAGCTTTCTTAAAAATGTTCAATAGTAAATATTTCAAACATACAGAAAATGTGGAGAATAATATAAGTAATACCCGGGTACACCAAGATTTAAGAAATCGTAACATTTTTTCCATGTTTGTATCATATCTTTTTTTTTTTTTTTTTAGATTTTGTTTATTTATTTGAGAGAGTCAGAGAAAGAGAGAGCACGCAAGATGGGGGAGGGTCAGAGGGAGAAGCAGACTCCCCACTGAGCGGAGAGCCTGACGTGGGGCTTCATCCTCGTACTCTGGGATCATGACCTGAGTTGAAGGCGGACACTTAACCGACTGAGTCACCCAGGCACCCCTCATATCTTTTTTTCTAAATAAAATATTGAATATACACTTCCAGCCCATTTCACATGCTTACTTCAATCCTTTCTCCCACCACCCTGCTCTAGAAGCAACCACTATCCAGAATTGGTATCTGTTTTCTTTAGCCACATTTATTATTTTTATTTCATGAGTGTGCATCCACAAACCACATATAGAATTGTTTTTGTAAATTTAAAAACTTTTTATAACTGGCATTATGCCATAGGTATTACTTTGCAACTTCATTTGTTCGTTCATGTTGTGTTTTTGAAGTGCATCTGTTTATGTATATATAAAACTTCAGTTCCCTCATTTCCATGACAGTGTGGCATTCCATTGTACAAAAATACCGTAATGTATATATCCATTTTCCTCTTGATCAACATTTAAGATTCCAGTTTCTTGCTGTTACAAACATGCTGCAGTGAACATTCTTACACACGTGTGAGAGTTTGTCCAGGGTATACAATTGGGGGTTGCTGGGTAGTAGGGCACACGTATTGTCAATTTTACTAGGTAGCACCAATTGCTTCCCAAAGGCAGTTGTACCAATTCACACTCCCACTGCCTGTATGTAAGTCTTAATATAACTCCATACCCTTGCTAACTCTTGGCATTGTCCTACTTTACAATTTTCACCAACTTGATGGGTGTGAAATGGTATGTTATTGTTGCTTTTATTTGCCTCTCCCTCTTGAATTTTGAGAAGTATATTTTCATAGGTTGTCTTGCCATTTAGGGTTCTTCTTGCATTAGCTTTTGAAGTTTATGCACATGCAATGCAAAATTTACTCTGTCAAAGACTATGAATAATAAAGTATGTATTTCTGTTTCATATTATTATAACCAGTGTTTGGAGCTAAAAGGAGAAAGGTGGGAAAGAAGGAAATGAAATCAAGGGGGAATATATACACACATATATTTGAAAATAGATATATGAAAATGGAGAAAAAGAGAGAGAGAGAGATGGACAGAGGGAGAGAGGAATGAATGTAAGGAATGGGGAGAAAAATGCGGACAGTGGAAGGGACGCTTAATCAGTGTTTAGTTGAAGGCTAGTGATGAAGTGAGGCACAGCGCCTAAGAGCTTGGGCTTTGAAGTCAGACTGCCTGGGTTCAAATCTGCCCCTTCCTAGTTGGGTACCTGGAGCATATTAATTCTCATGGCCTTAATTCCTTCATCTACAAAATTGGCATCTTAGTAGCATCTCCCTATTCAATGGACTACACGTACGTTAGTGTACAGAGTAAGAGCTCAGATTATGTTAGCGATTTTTAACAAGGCTCTTAGCAGTTGCACAGCTGTAATAATAGAATTGTAGCTCTTTAGAACTAGAGGGAACTCCTAGGCGAATGAGTCTCCAAGTCTGGGCTCTACCGCTTAGCATTTAGATCTGCACTGTCCAACACGGTAGTCACAAACCAGCTGTGGCTACTGAGCACGTGATGTGTGGCCAGTTTCAGTGCAGATGTGCTGTAAGGGTAAAATACACATTGGATTTTGAAGCTTTTGCATGAAAAAAAAATGTAAATTACCTCAATAATTTTAAACTCAATTGCATGATATTTTGGATATATTGAGTTAAATAAGATATATTACTGAAATTAATTTTACTTGTTTTTTAATCCCCTTTTTAATGTGGCTACTAGAAAACTTAAAATTGCATCCTTGGCTCACATCACATTTCCATTGGACAGCGCTGACTTTGAGGCTCTGAGTCTGAGCTGATGCAGTACCCATAGCAGGTATCTGACCCACATAGTGTTACTTCCTCTAAACATGCTGAAGGAAGGGGCGACTAGAGTGGGGAAAGAGACATCATGCAGATGGCTAGGTGACAACTCAGACCCAGAGTGTGCTGTGGCCAAGTATTCTCCCTTTCAGATGACTGGTTCGACTTCGTGACATCAAGTTCCTTAAACAAGGAGAGGGTGAGCGGAAGGGCCAGGTCGAGGCACGCTTCCCCCGGGGAGGAGACTTGCACCCAGCCCTTTAGGATGTTCACTCCAGAGCCGTAAACCCAGGACTTCCTGCTGCAGGGGAGGGAGATACCTACTGCCTTTGATTCTTAGCATGCCCAAGCTGATTTTATTTGATCCTATTGATGTAAGGGGCTTGAGCCTCCTGAGGTAAGCTGCCTGGATGGAGTTAGTAGAATTATGATTCAAAACTTGATGAACTAAGCAACAATTTATCAGTGGCTTTCAACCTTGACAGCATATTAAAATAACCTTGGGTCTTGGGGAGCTTTTAAAAACTATTTGTGCCTGGCCCCATCTCAAACCAATGAAATCAGAATGGGGGGAGGGGAGGAGAGACTTTCTCTCTTTGTTTTAGGAAGTATTATGTTCTTGTTTTCTAGAATTAATATTGTTGATGGTATTTGTTCTTCAGTTAAAGAGAAAAAGTAGTGTTAAGTTCTATGATTTGTTATTTCTTTTTTAGCTGGTTGCTTAAACTAAATTTCTAGCTCACTTTTTTTTTTAAGAGAGAGAGAGAGAGAGAGAGTGAGTGAGGGGAGGGGCAGAGGGAGAGAGAGAATATTAAGCAGACTCCATGCCCAGATGGAGCCCAATGCAGGGCTCAATCTCACCACCATGTGATCATGACGAAAACAAGAGCCAGACGCTTAACTGACTGAGCCACCCAGGCACCCCTCTAGCTCACTTTGACCCACGAAAGTCACCTGTTGCCTTTTTCTTTTTTTCCTTTTTAAAACTAGGTTTCTATTTTTCAGCTCTCAGCTGTCCTTGGCCTCAGAGAGATGAATCAATCCCTGCTTCCACTTGACTAATTTTCTTGGCCCTGTTCCAGAGGCATCCCCTCTGCATTTCCCCTTTTCTGCCTTACTTTCTAGTTTCTTTGATTCATCCCTGCACTCTTCTTCCTCATGAGCTTCCTTCCTTGTTGTCCTGAGGCTAACATTGGCTCCTCTTATTGCATCTACAAAGATATCACACATACTTCTCTTACCCTTCTCTTTTATTTCACAAAATTTTCCATCTGAGCAAAAGACTGATCAAAACCCTGAACCCCAGGGGCACCTGGGTGGCTCATTCGGTTAAGCATCTGCGTTCGGCTCAGGTAGATTTCAGGGTCCTGAGATGGAGCCCCGCTTCAGGTAGATTTCAGGGTCCTGAGATGGAGCCCCGCTTCAGGCCCCTTGCTCAGTGGGGAGTCTGCCTCTCCCTCTGATCCCCCCCACCCCGCTCATGCTCACTCACTCTCTCTCAAATAAATAAAATCTTTTTTTAAAAAAAACCCTGAACCCCCAAAAAGGAAGCTGATATTGGGTGTTTCTGTGGTTCAGTTGTAGATTTGGTGGGCTTGCACTCATGGAGAATTGAGAGACTATCATGGAAGGGAGGGCATACTCTACTCTCTTGGAATCCATTCACATGGAGCTTTTGTTCCCTGATTGGAGATGTGGCTCCCAGAAAGTTGAGCATGAGGGCACAGCCCTGAGTGTGAGCTGGTTCTGGCTCATGTGTGAACCTGTCTGCCTGCCCCATAGTGGAAGAAACTATGAGCAATTTGCATAGGCTTCCTGGTATGTCTGTCCAAAAGCTCCATGGACGCTGATTGCTTCCTACCTAGATATCTGGCTAGTCCCAGAGATATAAGATTCTTGGATAGAACAGATTTCTGCTAATCCCTTCAGCCTGGATCAAGTCTCATCAAATTCAACTTTACAAGATTTGTTTGAAATCCAGCTGACCTCTAGTATATCTTTGTTAGAAGGCTGCTCATCTTTGACAGTTTGCCAAGAAGGGTATTGTGTGCCCTGTGAGATAAGTATGCTTAAGGACTAAAAATAATATATGTGACTATATATTTTATATTTAAAATGTTATATGTATGTATAATTATATATTTTATAATGTATGTATATATTTATATACGCACACACATACCTGAAAAGTTCTTCGTTCTTCAGGATCTACATTTCCCTACTCCTGGAGAACCTCAGCCTTTTTACAACTGGGTCTCCTGTCCAAGGAGATACCGCACTTCTCATCTAGCCTTTACCCAATTCTTGTGCCGTTTTCAGCTCCTGATTTCACTTCTCTACTGTACTGGGTCTCTCCTCCTGTCTGGTGGCTAGAAAGTGCATGACTGATACAAAGAAAAAACAAAACAAAATATGGTGGTTGTACCAGGCAAATGAGAGCACAAGATACCACATTTGACTTGACATGAGTAGAATTTCCCGACTACATTATGCCTCTAACTTGTGCTTCTGCTTCCAGGAGCTCGTGTAAATGCCAAGGACAACATGTGGCTGACCCCACTGCACCGGGCTGTTGCCTCCAGAAGTGAAGTGAGTGATTATCTTATTTAATCTAGTACCTCCGGCCCTAGAAAGAGAAAAATGCTTTCTGCTGAACTAGGGATTCTTGCTTGTGAACAAAAGGCTTTTATTTCTAATGCAAGAAGGTTACCAAAATTGAACAGTTGACTTTTTGGAGCACCTCCTGCAGGCCAGGCATGGTGCTTGGGGCGGGGGGTGACTGGAGTAGTCCAAGGCGGACAGTGTGATCCTTGGCTTCAGTGAGTTCTCAGTCTGGAGGGGGTGGCAATCAGGTAAGCCTATCAGTACAGTATCGTAAGTTGGTTGGAGGAGGAAGCAAACAACTACTTGAATAGAGAAGCCTTCCAAGAAGGGATGTCAATTGAGCTGGTCCTTGGAGGATGAGGAGGCACTTACCAGGCCAGGGGAAGGAGGGAGGCTGGAGGCAAGGGGATAAACATGCTAGAGGACAAGGGACGTGGAAATGAATGAATGGCGGGTTCAGTTGGATGTAGATGGAACAAGGGATGTAGTGGAGATAAGTCTGATAGCAGGGGCTGGGTCACCTGGCAAAGGACTGGGGGTCCTCTGAGCAGTGGGGTGTGGTCACAGAGATAAGTATGAAGCTGACAGCATTTGGGACCTCGTGAGGGTAAGGTAGAAGAGAGGCCACTGGGTGAATGGTGGGGCCATTAATTGAGAAGGCAGAGGCGGAGGAGCAGGGAAAGGAAACCAGTTCTGTCTGAACATGCCGAATTCGGCAAACATGTCACCAGAATGTAAGCTCCAGAAGGGCAGGAATCTGTGTTGTGTTCCCTGATGTATCCCAAGCCTGGTCCATTGTAGGTGCTCATGAAAGAATTTATTTTGCATTCTGGAAATGCAGGTGACGATGGCTATTAGGTGATCATTATTCATATAGGTCTCGCACTTAGGAACTGAGAGGCTGGTCATTGAAACTATAGCAGGTGGATCAGCTGGTTCAGGGAACGTATAAGTGCCGAGAAGAGAAAACCAGTGTGGGTGAGGGGTGGTGGGGAATGCTGGTGACTTTGAGTCTTGAAACCTGGCCAGGGGGGATGCTCACCATCCAGGGAGCCAAGAGGCTCTTTCCCAGGAGGCACTTGTCACTGGATGACTAGTCTTTGTAGCTGATTTTACCAAATGAGGTTCCTCGGCTACCAGCGAAGGTGCTATTCTCCAGCTATATCTAGGAGCAAGGGCTGTTGCCGAGGATGCCCACTAATGTCGCAGGTGTCGAAGGCTGTCATCAGTGTTAGCCTTTTCTCGTCGGCAACTATCTGGTAGATGACAATTATCTCAGTGCTCATAATCTTCCTTGCTGTGCTGTGTGATTTGAGTTTTTATAAGGTGTAGGTTGTGTTCTCCCCTCCTAAGAGCCCACATGGAATGAGGGAGGCAAATGATCCTAAGTTGCCTGGCTCATACCCTGGGGAATCCAGAATCTTCTTATGGTCCCATTATTTCATTTCTGTTTTTCCTGGGAAAGCAGGAACAGTGGGCTGCTCGAGTCTGTATGACCAGCTTCATGAGACCAGCTCCTTTACAGAGAAGTATTTCCTGGTCTTTTAAGACCATGTCATCTTCAGTAAATTTCTTTTTAAGTATCTTTTGAAAAATACGGGTTTGTTTCCTCTTTTAACAAAAACCAGGTCTTTTAGGTTAAAAAAAAAAATCATTAAACACTTCCTATATGCCAGGCCTTGTGCTTAGGAGGCATGCGGTCTAGTGGGACAGAAAAACATAAGACCAGATGATTTCAGAACTATGTGATCTTTCCCAAGTGATCTCCCCCTTTGTTAGCTCAGCTACTTGCTTCCGGCTTCAAAACATCCATTTGCAGCAACTCTCAGCTTGCCTTCTTTACGTGTCATTGGTGTATTTGAGTTGAATCAACCCAATGATTGATCAGTCTTTGTATCTGAGAAAGGCATTTGTTGCTTCTCTAAGGAACCAGCTCCTTCTGCAGGTTTGCTGGGGGAAAAAAAATCCCTTGCAGGTGTCTCTTGCGGGGAAGGAATTAAATGCAAACAGACCCTGAGTTGTAAATAATCAGGGTCATATATAGACTTGCGAAAGAGGATGTCTTCATATTAATATCTATCACAACAAGTTGAAAAGTTTCTTATGAAAATTGGAGTCTTTGTAACCGTCATTGGAACTGATTGTGAACATCTTAACTCCAGCACATCGCTGTGCCGTGGCGGTTCTAAATTCAGATTTCTTGCTTCCTTTGAATTTGATGCTCTTGCCATTACATTGTGCCTCCCCTAAATCATAGCTGAGGCAAGAGAAGCAGGCTAGATGGGGAAACGACAGAGAAGGTTTGGATTGGTGTTTTGAAACTTGGCTGCCAAAGGGGATCTGTGCGCTCAGCATGAAAGCTGGCACATCTCCCTGTCGCTTAGATTGGCAAAGACCGGTATTACTTATATGAATATGAATTAAAAACCGTTTCTTTATCGAAAGGCTTATAAACTCTCTACTCTCCTCAAAGCCCTTTGCTTCTAAATTGTAGGTAATTGATGCTTCCGGGTTCAATCAGGGAACCAGAACCACCAAGAGAGATATAGGATAACATCTTTATTATAGTAATTAGACCTTCCACAGGTGTGTGAGCTGCTGGAGAAGTTTGTGTCAGGCTGTCCCCTTGGGTTCTGGTGGTCTGAAGTCACTGTGGGCAGGCAGGGTCTGCCATTGGGGGAAAAAAAGCTGGATGTGAAATGGGAGAGAACAAGAACAAACTGGAAGCTCTGTCTCTCACTGCCTCAACATGTGGACTTGGGCGACTTGCAGAAGGAGCTGTGGGCTTCACCTTGGAGCTTGAAGGCACCTGGCCCGAGGAGGGGAGAAACTGAGGCAGATACTGCAAGTTCTGAAGACGCATCAGCTATGCCCTGTGCCAACACGTGGCTCCCGCTGGTCGGTGACGACGTGCGCAAGCTGCAGCAGGGCCTGGCGCCCAGCACACAATCAGCCTGTGCTTTCATCTGTGCGTTCCAAAATGCATGAAGGTTTCTCTTGTGGCAAACGGGACTGGGGAGGGGATCCTGAGAAATGTAGTTCGAATGTAGGCTAAGTTGACACAGTATAAAACTACCCGTGAAATTGTTATTCTATTGTAATTAAAAAGACCTTCTAGATAGTAAGTTCCTTGAAATGAGTGCCGCACCTGTTTGCTTATCATTGTATATCTAGTGTCTTGCCTGCTCAGTAAACAATTGTTTTTTTTTTTTTAGTGCTTTCTTTTTAAATTTTTAAAAAAGCTTTTATTTATTTGAGAGAGAGAGTGAGAGAGAGCACAAGCAGGGGGAGCTACAGAGGGAGAGGGAGAAGCAGGCTTCCTGCTGAGCAAGGAGCACGATGCGGGGCTCGATCCCAGGACCCTGGGATCGTGACCTGAGCCAAAGGCAGATGCTGAACCGACTGAGCCACCCATGTGCCCCTGAACAATTGTCTTCTGAGTGATTCCTTAAAGACTGGCTTTCTAACATAAGCTATGTTAACGTGATTCTCTGTACAACTGCTAACGTAGAACTAGTTTGCACCACAGAGAAGGCTGGTGGTAATCATCTTGCATGCATGCAACGTAAGCCGATTTGAAGCTTGTTTCTGGAAGTGTAGCCCTGGAAGCCATTTAAACCACTGGAACCTGAAAGATCAAGATGAGTTTCAAAATTGTATGCAACACAGGTATACGTGTAAGTCAGAGATACCCGTATAAGTCAAGATTTCTGAGCTTTTCTTTCCATTCAGGCAAATTTTATGTTCCAATTTCTATGCCTGGAAAAATAATGTTCGTTGCTAAATTTATTTCCTGAGCCTGTAATAGCAATAGGAGTATCAGATCATCCTATTGATTAAACATCCACCCGTGCCTGACAGAAAAGCTCCTACACAGACAGGAAAGTGGATCAAGACAGGGTCATACCTGCTGAAAATCGTCCAACGTGGATTGGGTTCTGGAGGTAAACTCCCAAGACTTTTCTTGGTACTGATCAGGCTGTACTGTGTGCTTCCTTCTGATCCAGAACCCACCCCTCCCCACGTTTGGGGTTCCCAGGGAGGAGACAACCAAACACATAACTGGAGCCAAGCAGCACTGTCTCCCCAGGGCCTTAAACTCACCCCCCCCCCCACCACCAATTACTCCCACTGTTGAGAAGACATGAAGATAGTCTCTTGCCAAAATATTAGGGAAACATATTTTGCAATTCTAGATAACATAGATGAGCAAGATTTGGGGCTTACAGGGAGAGTTTTCTGAAGCACTGTGAATTATTTCATATTGTTTCTCCTGTTTAGCTTATTCTTCCTGCTTTTTTGTTTTTCTTTCTTGGAAAAGAGCAGCCCTGGGGACAGGAATTAAATCCATACGAGCCTGGCCAGTTTAATACATGTTTATTGAAGCCCACTCAATGGAAGGCCCTGTTAATGTGTGCTATGGGGGCCTTGAAAGGGCACAAAGTGAGTCTTCTAGGACATGGTATTTAGGGCAGACAACCAGGCACACAGCCTACCGTGGCCTACATCCAAATGCAGCTGGCCTTTCACACATGCCTTTTCTTTTTAAAGATTTTATTTACTTATTTGACAGAGAGAGATAGAGCAGGAACACAAGCAGGGGGAGTGGGAGAGGGAGAAGCAGGCTTCCCACCGAGCAGGGAGCCCGATGCGGGACTTGACCCCAGGACCCCAGGATCATGACCTGAGCTGAAGGCAGACTTTTTTTTTTTTTTAGTATTTACTTATTTATTTATTTTTTTTATTATGTTATGTTAATCACCATACATTACAGCATTAGTTTTTGATGTAATGTTCCATGATTCATTGTTTGCGTATAACACCCAGTGCTCCATGCAGTACGTGCCCTCCTTAATACCCATCACCAGGCTAACCCATCCCCCTGCCCCCCTCTAGAACCCTCAGTTTGTTTCTCAGAGTCCATAGTCTCTCATGGTTCGTCTCCCCCTCCGATTTCCCCCCTTCATTCTTCCCTTCCTGCTATC